TTCAGCACTGAAGACCAGGTTTGGCATGAATTTTATGACAGAGGACTTGAATGGAATGGTTGTGGAGTTGTGAAACTCCACAACCATTTCAAACGCCACAATAAAAAATGCTATTTTAAAACAAGAGACACATACCGAAAGTGAAGACTTGAGAGAATGGCCACTCTCCTCCCGGACGGCGAACGAGGCGGTGCGAGCCAGACAGCCCAGCTCCCTCCAAACTCCCTCCCACTTTAGGGTTTGGTTGGTCTTCCACACGGGGAACTGTGTGTGATCAATTAGCAATAATACACCAATCTATTACTTGTAGAGCTCTCATGCAGTAGATGCGTATACAGCATGAACTGTTTCTAACATAAAAACTACTGTCTCCTCACAACAAAGAAAGAATAATGGCTCTTCGAAAGCCAATAAAAAATATTGTTTTTGCAAACAACATTTTTAATTGTGCAAACTGTGGAAAAATAGGCACATAAATAAAAATAAGTATTTACGCTCAGTTCTGCAGAGACGCCTCGATCTGTCTCCCTTAGTGAACTCCATGGAAACTGACCAGTGACTTTGTAAAGGTTGATTGAGACACTGAAAATGAAAAAAGAAAAGAATAAATTTCAATACTCTGCAAGGATTCCTTTGTGATTCCAAACCACCTATAGTTATAAGTTATATAGGTAATAGAATATATATATATTATATACTATTTATATATATATATATATATATATAGTATTTGAATGTTTTTAAATAAAATAATCTTTAAAAGTGTGCTTAAAAACTCTAGCTGACCACTAAAAGATTAAATCCATGGCATAGCAACAGGAAGAATTAAAAGAGAAAGATGGTGAATCGACAAGCAATCAAACAAAAGAGAAAAACTGAGCTTCCCCTGTTTTAAGTTCAGTTCATTTTAAATAAAAAGTTCTCTGAAAAAGCATTATTTAGCCTCCATATCATCACATTGCCCTGGCATTTGCTATAGCTCCTAACGGATGGACCCAACTCTAAAGCTTAAGTAGCAGGAGTGTGACCTTATCTGGCTGATGTCCAACCTCAACCACTGGGCTAATGGAGGAGATGATATAAACTTATGGCAAAAGAATGAGCTGTCCCACAGACATAACAGACACACGTGTATCAAGGTGATTCGATTCTATGAACAGGTGTGAAGTTGTTCATATCTTACTTGCGTTCAAAGCGTCCTGGTTGGGGTTTGAAGAAGGACAGGCCATAGGATGTCTCTTTGGTGCCATAGGAGAACTGGAAGGTGAGTTTCTCTGCACGACCAAATACATTAGGTAACTTCAGGCCCAGTACCTGGATTTAAAGTAAGGTGAGATTTGTGATCTGTGTCATGGTATAATAACTTCATCACAATGCCATACACACTGAACCATCATAGTGCTCACCATGCTTCCTTCATTGTTTCCAACCATAGTGTTGTAGCTGCCCGTCATCCGCCTCAGCTCAGTGACCTCAAAGGTCACGTCAAGGCCGTTAGGAAGAGCATCTTCACCTAAAGACAAGAGAAACAATGAGACAGATATCTCACGTGGTGATGTGTGTACTGACCCTATTTCATGGTTCAACGTCATTTGTAAATCTATTTGGAAAATGCAAATACCTACTGTATGTATAACCATAAGACTGTGCCGTGACTGACAGTACCTCGTGAGGTGTCAATAACAACTTCAACTTTTCTGAAGATGCCGAGACGCAGTAGCTTCTGTCGGGCTTCATGGGACTTTCGCATCACCTGCACCACAATTCAAACCACGTGTTGATAACTGGAACTGCTATTCACAAACATAAACCGAGCAACCATCACATAGTACTGCTGTGCACACATGCACTTACATCAATCAAGTTTCTTGCCCGGAAAACTTCTGCGATTTCATAAGTCAACAGGTCCTCCTTGGTTCGCCCGAGCCCATCTATGTGTACTCGTTGAACCACAACCTGAAAAAACAAGACCGCGTTAGGAACAGGAGTCAGGTCTGGGAATGTGAGAGTCCTAGTGAGAGAGCTGTGTAATTACTGTCTGGAGCAAAACAAATCTTACATCCTTGTTTTCAAGAACTTCTTGCTTTGGCTCCTGCTCAATGTCTAGAGCCTCAATGTCGTCTGCTTGAACTCCAAGTTCTGGCCCACGCATGGGCAGAGGGTCCAGGCTCTGCAACACAAAAAGTATTATAATCCCAGTCAGAGTTCTTACAGTGTTCTACCAGTCAAATCTGAGTCTCCTCCAAGGAATTTAATATTTTCCACAATAATTAAATGCCATTCAGCAGATTAGGGCTGTAATTGATGATTATTTTTTTCTATAGATCAATCTGCTGATTATTTTCTCAATCAACTGATTAATCATTTGATCTATATAACCTAACGTGTGAAACATGTCAAACACACTTATCTTCAGTCCAAGGTGTCATCGTCAAATTCTTGACTAATTTTCTGTCGATTGATTATTTGACTAATTGTTTCAGCTCTACACAACACCATAATGTAAGCAGATACAACTTACAAAAAATATGACTGAATTAATAACGTGTGAAAAATAAAATGAACGTGATTGATGAAGAGAAGAGTAAATTTAATTAAGTTTTAATTTATTTCATCAACTGAATGGTAATAAAGGAAAAAACTTTTTTTTTTAACCAAGTGACTGGAGATTAAAGGAAAAGTACAAAGTTTTATATTGTCTCTTACAGTTCATTTTGATTATTCATCTAACAATATTATTTATTGATCTATCATAGTAGGACCAGTCGAGGGTGACATCTTCAAATGTATGACTGTTGGTATTGCTACCAACAGTCCAAAACCCAAAGATATTCAGTTTAGTTTGTTTTAAAACAGAGCAAAGCAACAAATCCTGCCATGGGAGAGCCTGCTGTCAAAGAATGTTTGTTATTTTGCACTATTTCTTCTTGAAAAATGAGTAAAATAATCAATACATTATAAAAAATAGACTAATTTATTCATAGTTTTGATTTTGTGTCAATTGACTAATCGACTGATATCTTCAGTTCAATATTCTAGTTATAATTTTGACTCGTCAAATTGCTGTTCACACGTTTCATGGCTCCATATAAGACCACAGTATTTCTAAGTTTGGCTACAGTCCTGTACAAGATGAGTGCAATGCAGTGGTGGAAAGTGACTAAGTACATTTACTCAAGCACTGCATCTGAATATAATTTTGAGATGCTAGTACTTTACTTGAGTACTTTCACTCTCTGCTACTTTATAATTCGACTCCACAGTAATTCAGATGGAAATACTGTTCTTTTCACTCCTCTACATTTATTTAACAGCTCTAGTTACTTAAGTTAAGTTAAGATTAATACAAAATATGACTGATATTCAACAATCAACGAATAAATTGTATCAGTATATAAAGTATTTTAAATTACGCTCACCTTTACCAGCTTCAACATTAGTAATGCTTTCATATTCATGTGTCAATAATTAATCCAATAATATAATATTTGTTATTCTGAAAGGGGTCATTCTGTATAATGAGTACTCTTGCTTTTGGTACTTTAGTTTGTTTTTATGCTAAATACAGGACTTTTACCTGTAACAGAGGATTTCTGCACTGTGGCATTGCGTTTGTACTCAAGTAAGAATGCTGTAAGCAAAACACATGCAGGAGGACTACAGTGAGTGGAGGCGCCACTAGCATCTCACGTTACTGTGCAGTGCTATTACAGTACATTTACGTTGCATTGTGAGTTAAAAACTAGCTGCCACGTTTAGCAGGAAATTAGCTTTGTTTGTTGTCACAGAGCTGGATGCCTGAGCTTTGCTGTTCAATGAACAGTGTGGGCCTGTTCTTACAGCACAGCAACCAGATAACTGAACACACACTGGACACACAGAGAGGTCAAAGTCATAGCTGACACGGTCACTGGACTTGTCCTTACCCGGGCATGGACGGTGCCCATGCTGAGCTCCACAGGGCGCTGTCCCGGTAAATATGGGCGAAACTTTGTGTGGAAAAAGAGAAACTAATTTAACCTACAAGTAACCGGAGAAAGGCGAAGAAGCTCCGTAAAAGGAGACGGCCATGTCACTTCCTGACCACGCCTTCTGTTGGTGCGCGTTCAACACGTCAACGCTGCAAAATGAGAAACAATGAAAAGAAAATTACATACATCTTAAGTAAAAGCGTATCACCATTATTTCTAAGTATATTACTACTTCTGCAATTATTGTGTTGTATAAATCATATAACGTTTTCAGTGATGGAAAGTACATTCACTCAAATACTGTACCAATTCAAGGTACTTGTACTTGAGTATTTCCATATTATGACACCTAATACAAAACAAATGAAAAGATTATGAAATATGATGTTTCAAAATAGCTTAAACTACCCAACAGTATTTTGTATTAGCACTGAAACCATTTTAAAATGGCTGCTTTAAGTCATTTTTCATGTAAAAATGCCAAACATTTCATGCTTATTTTCAGATATAATGGTTTGCCTCTTTTCCTTTTTATAATTTTAACAATAGTGGTGAAGTTCGGACTATTGGTTTGGTCAGACAACTGATTCATGAGTTACAATAATCTAATGACATAATGTGTAATAGTCACAGGGGCCATTTTTACTTTTAATACTATTAATACATAGTTGTATTAAAATGCATGTACTTCAATACTTAAAAAGAAAAATGAAATAAAAAACTTTTTCAGTTAGTATTCAGATAGCGATCAAGATTGACAGATCATGTCACATCATGAAAGGTTTTTGTCTGATTAAGTTCATTTATTTTATCTAATTACTACTATTGATTTCGTTTAAATGATTATTTTTTAAATATGATAAGCACTATTAACTACATACAAAAGAAAAAAAAAAGAATAACATTAATTAATAACAATAAAATAACATTTGTGTTTTTTCCTGGGCAGTCAAATAATGGAAGATACAGACACAAACCAAAATTGTATTACTTTATTATCTATTAATATATATACATATATCACAGGAGAAAATGTTATGTTTACCAGAGTAACCATTATCATTATTTTACATTGTGTTTCTAGGAATTGCTTATGTTTTTGGCTTGGTTACTGTGAATGTTTAGGCCTACAGAGTCATGAGGTTAAAAAGGTCATGAGTGTCTGGGGAGGTGGGCAGCTTCAGAGATAATCCCAAAGGTCATTTTCAGCAATAAACCTACATATATCCTTGTTAGTGGAAAACATTTTTTCAATTTATGAAGGAAAAGGGAAAATCATTTATTAGAACCAAAATGCTGAGCTATAGGATGTAGACTTATGATAATGAATTGGTGTTATTTCTTGAGGCTTCACCTCCAGTTTTTAGAAGGAAGTCCACCACAATATATGAATGTTGACTGTGAAAAGGATGGTCAATATACTTGAATGAAAATGAAATTGCCTGAAACACAAACTCCACAAAAACTCAAAAACTCCACTGGTAGTTTAAAAACAACAATTATGTAAAATGTGCTCCTTTGACCAAACACAGTTCTCCACTCTCAATCACAATATCCAGGTGCATTTCAACATTATAACACTCTATACATGACATATTAACTCAGTGGAATAAAAGTTCAGGGTTGTTTGTATGTTGCTGAGCATCTCTGTAGGCCTTTTATCCTGTAACAACAAAATGAGAAATACATTTACTTTTCATAATAAGGTGAATTTTAAAATACTTGTGTAGATTGTCTTTGTCTTGCTGTTTAGATTTTACAAGTTGCCCTTACGCTTCTGTTTTGAAAGTCTCTTGGGATATTCTGTCTTCATTTGCACCTTCAGGACATTCGTTAATGTTTTTTATGCCCAGAGTGGTCAGTGCTGTGGGGAAAAAGGCTCTGTGAGTATTAGTCCACAGTTCATTATTCTGAAAAAATAACATTCCTGTGATAATCTTAATTTTGTTGTAGGCTAAGAAGTGATAATTGGGTGAATTAACAGTTCCTATATGTAAAGAATGAATAAATACGCTACTTCATATGAAATATTGTATAAGTAATTAGTGGTTCTAATACAGAAAGACTGAATACATATGCGAGAAATTAATGCATGAAAATATTATTTAATGTTTTCTTTGGTGACCTTAGAATTATTTAGCCAATATAAATAACTATCATGTAGTTACTTATATTGAGAGTGTGTGCAGATTCATTCCCTCTGCCCAAGAAAGTGTAACTGTGTCCATGTCCTGCGCTCACCCTGCTTGTATTGTGCAAAAGTGATGTATTTTTGTTTAGTAGGGTCCAGTATCCCATAGACTGCATCCAGGTTGGAGTTGTTGAACAGATTTGGTCCTTTCACACCGCTCTGTTGAGAAAGCTTCAGCTGTTCCAGCTGCTCAATCAGAAACTGTCTGGGCTTCTCTGAATGGAAGAATCAATCACAATATTTTTAAAAAATCACTGCTACTAAAATAATAAAGGTTAAATTATTAAACCCCACAGTGCTCTAGGGATAGTTTGGAAGAAGATTTAGAACAATAACAGGAGAACAATACCTTATATGAACAATAACTAGTAAAAATATATCAATAAAAGTGATATATCTTATTTGAATACACGTTTTAGATATCAACATTTAGTTATATCCATAGGAGGGGCATTTGTGCTGTGTTAATAGGTGTAAGTAGTAACCTCAAACTGTACAACACACCACAGCAAATGTATTGGTGAATGGTTGAAATTTATGAATTATACAGAGAGGTGTTTCTGTAATTCAGCCTACCCTCTACCTCTACAAAATTATAGAGAAACATGTCATCAACACCTATTCTAAACAGTTTCAACATCAACTGAGCAACACAGATCCAGTCCAACACAGACAGAATTAAATAAGAGATACTGTATATATATTTGTGACTGAAAAGCTAACTAATTACCTGTCATTTGTGTGTTATCGGTTATAATTTGAGCTTGATCGCTATCTATTTCTAATACCAAGCGTTTTTTCAGCACAGTGTGTTAAAACAGAAAGATAAGCTCTAACCAGGTCTGTAGAAGAAGAGCATGCTGGTCAGGTTGTCCATGAGCTCGATTATTTTGTGTTTTTTGAGATAATCAGCGGCGTCTTCTTCTCTCTGCGCCGCCATCTTCGCCACTTCACTTTTGTTTAAACTTGTTGCTATGATACACAACAGCTAACAACTGAGGCGCGAGCGCACACACTTGTTTGTTCCAATAGCCTACTTGTGAGGTCCCTACCCTAACGCTGATCTAAAACCAGGTCATTTCTTGAGTTATAGTTAATATTGCTACATAAAGTCTTAGAACACTCACAGTAGTGTTGTAACTACCAGTTGCATAGACAGGCTGCGAAGTGCCTGACTGGAATTTATTGGTTGCTTTCATGTTCTCATCTGGGAACGTTTATGCATTGAAATACCAATGTATATAAACCTGGTAGCCTAAAATGTAATTTGATTTAATCATTTTAATTTTATTATTACCATATAACATGTTTTACCCCTCCCATTTTCTCTTTTAAAAATGTAACGTGTAAGTAATTTTACTTCTGTTAAAGTACTTTTACTTGAGTTCAATTCCCCACCTCTAGCAGTTACCAGACATAGGCTGTTTACATTGCTGGTTGTAGCTGCAGTTTGGATATTGCTGATTTTATTCATTTCATCAATAATTTCTTTTCTGACGTTGTGACAGCCATTTTATCCAAAGCCTTACCATGGCACAGTTATCTGATTATGCAAAAGGAAGAAATAAATGGACTTCCTCTCGCATTTTGGATGTATTGTGCTGTTGGTTACTGTCAGGTGCTGAATTCTTTCACCTGTGCACGCAAAACTTTTTTTGTTTTTTTGCCTTGTGGTCATTTGTTTTAGGCTTAAAGCTATTTTGTTGAGTACTCTTTGGCCAAATTCAACTGAAAACTACATTTATACTTGACACTGGATAAAACGCTACACAATAAACAACCACAATATAAACAAAAACAACATGGGTCTTAAAATTAAATTTTGACACAGAGTACTTCAACAAGATGGCGGTTATAGTAGATATTGTTCTTCAGTGGTGTAAATGTCTGACAAATTTCTAATTAATCAAGTTGTATAGATTTGAAATTATTTGAATGAACCTTGGGCTTTTGTGGGCTCTGAGCAGTTGTCTGTTTTGTTATGTTGGTAATCCAGCCATCTTGATGTTGATTGTTTTGTCTGACCAACAGTCCAAAACAAACACACTTTACTTTTAGTCCTATCTTTATAATTCATAAGCAGTATACAAACATTGAATAAATCATTTATAACCCACTATAATGTAGTTGTAAGTGAAGGCTGGTTTATAATCAGAAATGAATGACATTATAACCCATATTGTGTGTGTGTAGTTTTATCAGCTCTATCAGTCATTACTTAAATATTCATATACTTATTATAAATGGGAGTTTTAACTTTAGGTTTTACCAGATTGATCACTTTTGCAAGCTAGTGAATTTGTCTGTATAGAATATTTACCACAAACTACTGCCAAAAGTTCTGCTTGGTATTTTTATTTAAAATATGTTTTGTCTGCTTGGATGAAACTATCAACTTAAGCACAGTTATTGTGTGTCCATAAAGCATCCTCTTACTCTTTTACATATTTCACCTCTCCTACAAATGCAAATACATTCAAAAAGGATAAAGAGATGTTTTCACAAGAGATGGATGCGACTGTTTGTATAAACGAAAAGATCATGTTCCAGATAAGATGCTTATCCTGGACGGTCAGGCATCAATGATGCAGCATCTGATTCCACTCTTGTTCGTTCAATTAAAAGAGAAACATCAAACACAGAAGATATCCATTTGCAGGTATTCTGGAAATGACTCTTCCACCTTGGCTCGTTTCAGCCTCTAGCTGTTGGCAAAAACTGGACAAAGTCTGAATGACTGAGTGTCCATCACACAGATGATGTGTAGTTCCACATCAGTCCACCTTTTGTTCTGCTTTAAACTGCTGTAATGCCGCAGTAGCTTCTTCTCTGACTTTGTAGCCCCGCAGTTCGGTCTGAAGCTCCCCAGGCTTTGGTGGGAGCTCTGGTATACTCTGAAAGAACAACAAGCACTGTTAAACACATAATGACAAACTGAGCCTATTTTGTCAGGTGGTGATGTAATTTTTAAAAAATTCCACGCATACGGTTAGCTATTAATAATATGACATTAAATCTACATATTTTCAGCAGCTGTCAAATGACATTATGGTGAATGCAGGAAAATGACAAATGACATACAATAGGCTGGGTGATATGGCTGATCACAAGGATGTATCACTACAGCTGATGAACGGTACTAAGATACACATTGTAGTACGTGTAATAAAAGTACACCTTGATACTTGTATGTACAAAACTGGTGCATGTTTTTTTGTTGTGTCCAAACCTTTCAAAAACCTGGAAATGGCCATGATAATAATTTCAACACATCCCAATACTGAACAGACTTTGGTGATTTCACGCACAGAACATCCACAGAAAACACACACAGGCCACTGTGAAATAAAAAGGATTATTTTGTCCCTCACCAGATCAGGTAGGTAGTACTGATGGACGACCTGTGCCCCTAAAAACATAGACAGTACACTAGCTCCAAACATCCTAATGTACCGAGGCCAAGACACACCAGCTGGCATCTTCACAGACTTCCGCAACCTGGAAAAAGGAGAGAAAGAGATTAGTAAACAAATCAAAACTGTGTGCCTGAAAGAAGCATGTAATTTTTGACTGCTCTCCTTTTTAATTTGGTGCCAAGTCAAACTGATGTGAAACCCTTTTCTTGCTAAATGAAATTAGTTATTTGTCTGCTAATAGGATCCTGTATGGGTATGGGTTACAATTAAGCATTCATATCAAAGCAAAGATCATAATTTTATTAACATACTGTATATGATTGTAAACCACCTGCACAGTGGCCGTATCCACTGACAGGGAATCTACTGCCAATGTTTGTTAGCCCTGATGTAACAGCTACCAGGGATAAAAGTTTGAAAAACAGACAAAGGTGACACAGCGAGAGACATCAACTGACATGAAGTGACCCTGCTAAGACCTTACCTTGTTTATTTCACTGTCATTTAATTAAATAGCCGCAAACTGAAGCTGATTTTCACCATCTTAAACATAAGTGTCATGCAGGTCATGCTGTTTAGCTAACATGAAGATTGTTTAAAGTGGTTGAGAACTCTCACTCTGCCTCTATTTACGGATACCACAAACGTTAAGATTCCGTTTCCCCGTTTCGCCCGTTTATGCATTGGTGGTCCCCCTTTTGTGAATTTATCGGTTGAGGTGGAATGTAATCATGTTTTAGGCGTCAATGATAAAGCATACTTGCTTTCTATAACACTACTTTAGTTTGAAGCTGCATCTCAAATTAGCATGTTTGGACATTTTCTATTGCACGGCCAAACAGGCCAGCTTTTTACAGTGGAGTGGTGCGCTTTACAAAAACCCGCCGTCTTTGGCTGCTGCGTTCTTCTTCTACAGTGCTGGTCCTTTCATACATACAACATCTGTCGCCCTCTAGCGGTAGCTTGTACAGTCTATGTACCATGCAGTGCGTTCATGGCTGTATTTTATCATGTTTAAAAAAATACAAAATCTGCACTTATTTACTGAACATTTATCGACCGTTATTCGTAATAGTTTAGTTGTGTGATGGGACAAAACATACAACTCCTAACCAAGAGGTGGCGGTAAAGCTTCAGTAAACCCGAGCGAGCGGAAACGTCGATCGTTTAAATGGTCTTTGTTTTGGGAGGATTCCCAGCCCCCCGTCTCCTTATCTGAAAACTAAAGAGCAAAATGTATGACAGGTATGTTAGTTTACTCATATACTCATATATTCCGTTAACATATCTGTCACTGGTGGTTTTAACGCAGCTGTAGGACTGCGTATTGTTGTTAGCTTACTGTTAGTTAAACCCTCCACCTTCCTGTCTTCCTCTTTGTGCCTGCAGTGTACTGTATGTGCTTTAAATCTCCACACAGCTCATGTTTCCAGTGTGTATAAATGTATCTGACAGCACGACAAATGTGAATTTATTCAAATAAGTCAACAGTTAAGATGGAGGAAAACCAGTACACATCATTGACGGTTCCTACGGATTATTTTCAGCAGTGGTGAGTTGGTGTTGGAGGTGGCAGGTCCTGGGTTTTCATTTTCATGCATGAGATGGAGAAAATAAATATCATTTGACCAACGATATCATATACATATCCGTATACTCTATATCTAGGCTTGTAGCAAGTGATAGTGCAATTATTATGAATGGAGCTACTTATGTAGGACTAATAGCTAAAATCATAAGTGTTATAAGAGTTGTAATTCGAGTATGTAACAATACATGTTCTAATTTCCAGTTAATTTCACAGTGATGTGGGCCCATGATTATCAGGGCTGCAATGATTAAAGAAAATTAGTTTTAGTATTAGTAACTATTTTACCTAGTAGCAGTTAATTATTTCATTTATTTTTCATGCAAAAATGCCAAACATTGACTAGTTCAAGCTTCTCAAATGTGAGGATTCACAGCCTTTCTTTGTTATATACGATACAAAATTAAATAAATTTGGTTTTTGGACTGTTGGTCAGACAAATTATGTTTTTCACTACTTTTTGACATTTAACAGACTAAACATGTAAACTATTAATGGAGCAAATAAGAATTAGGTTCATCAAGATTGAAAGTTATTTTTTAGTTGCAGTACTAATGAATACCCTGTAGCTGGTCTGACAGATTTAAAAGGACATTACACCATCACTTGCCACAAGCTTTATAAATGCACTTGCAGTGGCTCTTACCCAGCCTATTTTTCAACTGTAGTGTTTATACAGCTGTAAAATGAATTCTCCACATGTTTAATTTGTCGTTGAATATCATATCAATCACAGTCACAGTGATTTTGCAAGTCCTATTGAATGTTTGTATGTCTTCATTCCATTCTAGACACATTTTACTGAGGAGAACAATAGCTTTAGTGTTACAAAGACCTATGTGTGGATGTGAGAAGTAGGAGTTCAAGGTTATATGCTCAGATCAAATAGCCACAATGAAGGTGCAGTGAATGTAATGCAGAGAATACAAACAGGTGTTCATCAGCATGTTTGTTTGTAAGTATTGTGTCTTGTAAGTTTTCCTCACTCACTTCACACACTGCATTGAACACCAGACATAATTTGCCTTTTCTTGCTGTGTCCGGGTCCGCTTTCATTTTCTGCTTTTGCTCACCATCCTCTCCCTTCTCTCTTTAACCTTCTTCGTCCTCCTCTCCCTCTCCTCTTCTCTCATGAACCCTCTTCTTTAGGTACCAGTCCAGCCAGCAGCATCCTGAGGCGCAACATGTGATGCCATATCACAACATGGGCCACTACACAGAAGATCCCAGAGATGAGCCTGTCATGGCTGAGCTATCAGTCCATCGAGAGCCACCTCTTTACCAGGAACCTTTTTACCAGAACTATCCCGCAGCCCCAAATCACTATCAAGAGCCGATGTACCAGCAGAACGTCAGGGAGCAGCAGCAGCAGCATCAGCAGCAGCAGCAGCAGCAGCAGCATCTTGCAGTCCTGCACCACCCTCAGCACCACCATAACATACAGCAGCAGGAGCTGAGTGTCCAGCACCAGCCTCAGCCTGCTGGTCCACCTCCAGGTATAGACGATATTATTGATCCAACGTTCCCTCACACCTAAAGCAAGACTTCAAAGGTTTTTGTGTAGCCTATCCGTACCATACCTATACAAATATGTAGCAGCTGATTTATTTTGACTTATACTGCAAGGACATGATTGGCCTTGGCAAAAAAAAACTGATTGATGATGATTCTCCAAAATAATTAAACGTAGAGTATGTAACTTCTGCCACTAGGGATTGCTCAGTCAAAACAATAACTAAGGACGGTGTGACATTGTGAAATAGCGTGGGATCATAGGAGGTGTCTTCACCACCATTACCATCAGCTTCACTTGGTTTGGAGTCCTTCAGTGTCTCCAAAACAAATAGACCAGATGATTATAACCGGTAAAAACAATGAATAAAGCAGTTTCATATTAAAAATCAATGCGGTCACAGAGACCTCAGGGAAGGGCTGGGAGCTGAGGCTGCAGCTAACCTTTGTTTCAGTTGTTTCTCTGAAAATGTATGATCCAGACATTCAGGAGGTTTTTTACCGGCATCTGAATTATCCACAGAATTGTCCTTTTGTTCATAACCAATGGACCAGGGGATTAAAACCAGTAGAAACAAGTAATAAAGCAGTTTCCTTTTTAAAAATCAGTAATTTACTGGCGCTCTTTGCCCAACGCAGGGCATCTCAGAGTAGCTGAGCTGTCTAACATTTGCCTGGCTTTTTTCTCTCATAATTTAAGACCCAGACATCCGATGACTAAAATCCTTCATGTGGTTAAAAAAACATAGTTGAAAACAAGCAAGGTGTAAAAATCTAGAAATCTGTAAAACATATCTTAAAAATGTGACGTAAAACTGGATAAAAAGTCAATTTAGAGCTTCTGGCAGACACCCACAACAATGACACATACACAAAGGAGATATGATGTCAGTGACAGGAGACCACCAGTTTAAGATCACAGATTTCTCTGGTTTGAGAATTGATGGACATATTTGAGATAATGTAAGAACACAACTGAAAAAATATATAACATAGTTCTGGTCACTTTTAGACGTTTTAATGTGGAGAAGTTACATATCATAACTTTCATCTTACAGTTAAAAAGGGGCAAGTCACCTACAAATTATTTTTTTTATACCAACACCTTCATGTGTGTTGGTATGACACACAATAGTTCCCTTTCAGCCTACACTAAAAAAGTTAACAGTCATGTGTTTGTATAAGAAAAAAAAGTCATAAAATGTAAATCAAAATTCTCATAACGGCTTCTACGTTTAGGTTTTGGATCCATATTTACACCATTTTCCTCTGTGTTCCTCTGTCCTTAATGACAACGATTTTCTTGTGAATCCACCGATGGGTGTGTTTTTCCTTTTATCAGTCACTGTCACACTTCAACACTTTCCTCCTCTCTGTCCTAGCTGTGACACCAGTGAAGAAAAAGAGAGGCCGGCCTCCAAAACACCAGGCGGAGGAGGGCGAGACGCAGGAAGAGGAGGACGAGGCTGAGGCCGCCAAGAAGGCCAAGAGGGTTCTCAACCGCTTTAACGGCATGTCAGTGGCTGAGGTTATGGCCAAAACCCTGCCTGACGTTATTACCTACAATCTTGACATTTTGATAGTGAGTCATTTACTAGGGGCCTATTAAGAATTTATGTTTGTTTATTTGGATAATTAGTGGGTTAATGTTGTTGATGTGACAATTATACAAGGAAAAGCTGCCAGATTTTAAAACGCTTTACACACAATGTATCTGTGGCGTAAGATTTCAGCAACATAAATCTGTAGTTTTTAGGTCTGTTGCCATGGTAACCCCTTCATGTTTCTCCTCAGATTGGAATTAACCCAGGACTATTGTCAGCCTTCAAAGGACACCATTACCCAAACCCAGGAAACCATTTCTGTATGTTGAAATTCAATTTCATTACTGACTACAGGGAATACATTCCAGTATTCACTTTTCCACCCTGTTGGACACAGCGGCGGGTCCATCATTACAAAGTTTGTCATGCAGCTCAGATTTGTTCAAACTCGTAATTTCAAATGCAAATAGAGATCCCAAAGCCTCCAGAGATCCCAACACAAGGATGTGATGCAACTTTGTAACTTTCAATCCAATGTGTTGGTGCAGCCATAAAAAAAAAAAAATGGTGTCTTGGGTTTGAATATTTCACTCTGTGTATAAATGATGAGCTTCAGTGATTCACTGGAACAAACAGACAGCAGGATACACAGTATGCATGATACTGTTGTACAATGTTGAAAAATGTTTTTGTTCACTTTTTACGGGGTCAGTAAAGGGCAGTGTCAACATTTCACGGGCCAATAGAAAATGCATGAATGCCAAATTCAAATTTATCATGAGTGAATGTTTTTGCCAGACTGGTTTTCAAAATAAGAGGTCGCTAAGATCAGTGTGGACAATGATTTCATCATGAGCTTTAAGGTCTAGATAAAGTTACCACACTGTTTCTAAAGTATAACAGACACAGAGTATTTCTTGTCTCTCAGCATCTTTTACATGT